GCTGCCTCCCAGATGCTGGTATATACAGGTGTGTGCCACCATGCCCAGCCGGAATGTCCTTTCAGTGCTGCACATATGTTTGCAGGGGTAAGGTCACCCACTGAAGCACGGGCAACCTCCCAGAAGCCACATCCCTGAAGCAAACTGAGTCTTCACCCTCAGTGGCCATCAACGACCAAGAGCTCTTCAGCCAGCAGTGGGCCTTCGGGACTTCCTCCACCGTCGTTGCTGGGATTTTGACTTGCTTGGACTTGCAGTGGTCTCATGCAGGCAACCCCATTTGCTGAGCGTCCATGAAGGCAGTGGCCTGGCTATATCCAGAAGACACTGTTTTATGGCGGTCCTCCTCATTCTCTGGCTCTTATAATCTTTCTGCCCCCTCTTCTATGGTGTTTCTGAGCACTGTGGGAGGAGTGTAAATACAGATGTTCCATGCAAGACTGAGTACTCCCCAGCCATTTATTCTCTATACTTTGATCACTTGGGACTTAGCTTATTCTTCTTGACATAAAAAAATACGTATTTTTACTATTTTTTTTTTACTCACTATTCTATTTTTCTTGGTGCTGTATTTAGAAAAATGACATTGATACTAAATACAGAATTTTCAGTTGAAAAGGTACATTCTGTCAAAAAGTAGACACAAGGTTACCTGTAGTAAAAGCAGCAGCATTAATGACATTATGTGCTTACCAGGCCCTGCCCCTATATAATTTCCTATCTATATCTAACTATGCTAGTTAGGGAAAATGGTCTGCTGTTTTTATTCTTCAACCTGTATCTACTGCCCAATTCACATACTAGAATAGCAACTTGCTAAAACAATACTATATACTATGAGAAGAGGGTAGGCTAGGGTTAAAGTAGACCTTGTCTCTCAGTAAAACATTTAAACATAGAACAAGAAATAGTCGGTGATGCAATTGAAATCAGTTTGAGTAGGCCCATTTAATCTCTCTGAGAAGCACTAGCATCCCCGAGAGGGACGGGTGAGCTTATGAAAGTAAAAAGAGGAATGATGAGGGTAGAAAGTATGAGTGGCAGGGGCATGAAGCTGGGAGGGAAGAGCAGGTATGTGTTGGGAACAGGCACTCAACCTAAGCTAATTAGGCATGAAAATGCCATAAGGAAGCTTGTTATTTTGTATGTTCACAAAATTTTTTTAACAAAATTAAAACACTGAAGGCTGAAAAAGTGGCTTAAGAACGCTGGCTGTTCTTGTAGTAGATACAGGTTGGATTCCCAGCATCTACACGGCAGCTGACAACTATTTCTTATTCCAGTCCCAAAGTTGCTGATGCCCTCTGGTTTCTTTAGGCACCAGGCAAGCATGCGTTGTGCATACATACATGAAAACAAAAACTATCTATATATCTGTATCTATCTATCTATCTATCTATCTATCTATCTATCTATCTATCTATCTATCTAAAACAAAAATTTTTAAGAATAAAGACATGATTCTAAGCCTAGGACTGGATATGAAAAGATGTATATTTATCCAGGTCCTCTAGTTGTCTCTTCTGTATTATAAGTACTATATGCACAAGACTCTACAGTTATTTTCATTTCAATCAGCAAGAAATTGCTACGCTAAAGGTTAGATTATGGATGTGGTTTAGTTGAACCATCCCTGCTTTTCTGGGATCAAACAAACTTGGTCACGGTGGATAAACTCTTTGATGTGTTCTTGAATTCAGTTTGCAAGTATTTTACTGACAATTTTTATAACCATGTACAAACAGATCCTAGTCTGTAATTTTCTTTTTTGTTGAGTCTTTGTCTAATTTTGGTATCGGAGTAATATTGGCCTTGTGAAAGGAATTTAGAAATGTTCCTTCATTTTCTATTATACTAAGTAATTTGAGAAATATTGGTATTATTTCTTCTTTGAAGGTCTGGTGGAATTCTATCCTGAATCCATCTAATCCAGGGTTTCTCTGTGTCATTGCTGTCCTGAAACTCATTCTATAGCCCAGGATGGCCTTGAACTTACAGATTTGCTTGCCTCTGCCTCCTGAGTGCTGGGAATAAAGACATGCACAATTACCACTCAACTATTTGGGAGATTATTGGTTACTGCTTCTATCTTGTTGGATGTTTTGGGTATACTTAAATTTTAATTTCATCTTGATTTAGCTTTGGTAAACCACACATATCTTGAAATTCATTTATTTCTTTGAAATTTTTCTATCTTATGAAACATAAAATTTTTAAGGATATCCTTATGATTCTCTGAATTTTCTCCATGTCTGTGTAATATCTCTTTTTAATATCTAATTTTATTAATTTGTATTTATACTCTCTTTTACTTAATTTGGATGAAGATTTGTCAATCTTGTTACAAGTTGTTACATTTATTGATTCTTTGTATTATTTTTCTTCATTTCTGTTTCATTCATTTCAGCCATGATTTTGATTTTCTCTTCCCATCTATTTTTGGGGGAGCTGTTTATTTTGTTTTTCCAAGTCTTTCAAGTGTGGCCTTAAATTATTAATTTGAGATTTCTCATGTTTTTGATGCAGACACTAAGTGATGTAATCTTTCTTCAGGATTCTCTCCATTGTATTTCACAGAATTTGGCATGTTATTTTTCCATTTTCATTCAATTCCAGAAATGTTAAATTTTTCCTTCTTGATTTCTGCCTTGACTGAATTATCATTTATGAATGTACTGCTTAGTTCCCATAGTTTGAACACTACTGATATCCAGCTTTACTCTATTATGGTCAGATAGAATGCAGAATGTTATTTTAATTTTCCTATATTTTATTTAGATTTGCTTTGTCCTAATATGTAGTTGATTTTAGAGAAAGTCCCATGAGCTGTTGAGAAGAATTTGAATTTTTTAATGTTTGTGTGGAAAGTTTGGTAGATATTTGTTAAGTCCATTTGACTTATACTGTCAGTTTAATTCCAGAGTTTCTCTGTTTAGTTTTTTGTTTGCGATGACCTATATGATGGTCAGAGCAGAAATCACTCACTGTTATCACCGTGTTGCAGTCAGTCTGTGGTTTTATATCCAACAGTGTTTCTTTTATGAAACTAGGTACCTCTGTGTTCGGTGTACATGTTTAGGATTTTAATTTGAGACAGGATGTTGCTATGTAGCCCTGGCTGACCTCTAACTCATGGTGGATGCTTTTACCTTAGCTTCCTGAGAGCTGAAATTATAGTATGATATTGTAAAATTGTTTATTTTATTACTTATTTTTGAGACAAGGTCTTACGTAGTCCAGGTTAGCTAAGAATCACTCTGAACTCCTGTGTGTCTCACCTCTACCTCCTAAATGTTGGAATTACAGGCTTTGCTGCCACTTCTGCCTTACATATTTTATTTCAGTCCTTTAAATTGAAACATCCTGTCTGCAGTAGTTCAAAATTATCTATAAAAATTTCATTTTTAAAAATTTTATGTATACATACAATACACAAGTGCCTGGTGTGATGAGCTACTGGGCCTGGCAAGAGCAGCAAGTACTCTTAATTGCTGAGCTATGTCTCCAGCCCTGAAAATTCTCTACTTGTTGGGTATGGTATTGGGAACTGAACCCAGGGACTTGTGGTCAAGCCTTCTACCACTTAACGACATTCCCCAACAGTCCTCTCCCAATGAAAATCTTTTTGATCTAAATTCGACAAATAAGCAGTAATACAGAAAGGAGACCTTTATTTTATTTTTGCTCATCTCAGCCAACAAGGTAAATTCTTCTTAACTGCATTTTATTAAAAAGAATGTTTGTGACTACTTGAAAATTTTAGTGTCATTCCTACTAACAAAGTTCAAATGTGTACTCGAAACAACAACACAACATAGCTATTTTGTAAAAGAGGCAGAAAACAGCTCTTGACATATTCTAGAAGGGTCATTCGTACTTATTCCCATGACAAACTCAAGCTCTAGTTTTGTATGATCTAACCTAGAAGACACTGGATTTCCTAAATCTATGACAATCAAGATTTCAGAATAGTCTAATATAAGGAACTAGAATATCACAGAACTCTACCAGATACTAGGAAGATGTTGCCATGGGGGAAAAAATGAATAAAAGCCGAAACTAAGCTCTGCTGTGTCAAGTTAAAAACTGGCTCCACAAAATGTATGCCTTTAATACCAACATCAGTAGTATCCACTGCTATACACAGAGCTAAATCCTTTCAAAATCTCAATTTTAGATTTTACCACTCTCCTTTGGCATAGCTATCTGCTCCTTCCTGCCCATGTTCTGTCAGAAACCTCTGGCTTGTTTGTCCTGGAGTACACCTCGCTTTGGAAGGCTCTCTACTGCAGAATGCAGGATGGAAGTCCTGCTGCTCTAAAGGGTAATAAGCACACAGACACAGGTCGCCGCGTTCATCTCAGAGATGTTACACACAGCACTGCAAACCAGGCACAATTACCTCTGGGCAGATTACTGCAAAAACCACTTGGACCAAGGCGCATCAGGTCAATTTTAGCTCCATCAGGGTGATAAAGACAACTTGACTGAGGAAAAAGATGGGGATAAATCATGCCCATTGGAATTTTTAGCAAGAAAGGTTTATTTCTGCCTCCCAAATTTTTCTCTCCATTTAATGAAATCAATTTTTCTCATTTTCTTACAAAACTATAACTTTCCTGAAGTACTGTTAACAACCAATACTCTTACAGCTAGAATTCTTCAGACATCAAGTTGTCATACATTCGATCCCCTCACCTTTGGCACAGGCATTCCTACTTTGTATATATTTTTGGGTTTGGTTTAGTTTAGTTTTCTGAGACAGGGTCTCACTTTGCTGCCCAGGCTGGCCTCAAGTTAATGGTGATCTTCCTGCCTTAAGCCTCTCTAGTGCTGGGATAACAGGTGTGAACCATCACACCCAGATGTATCTGACTTTATAAAGTACATTATCTTTTCATAGTATTTCCTTTCTCAAGAATTTATAACTTTGAATTTCTTCACTAAGATATACCTGTATAATATATTTTTTTAAAAAGTAGAAATGCTCATGAATTAGGATTTATGTGTAATTCAGATTTTGAAGAAAAATTAAAATTTGTAGCAAACGAGGTTGAATTAAGCATAAAAATATATACTGTAGGTAAAAGAGTTACAGAATCTATTCATGCTTGAGTGAGAGCAAATATTGTTTTGGAAGTATAAACAAGAACTCTGGACTGGAAGGAAATGAGGAACTTCACCTCTGGACAAGAAATAAGAGGTATGAAGAAGTGTTCCCTGGTCTTACAGACAGAATTCTTTCTAAAGGTTAAAAGGTAGCATAATGGAGCAAAGCAATTCCTATACAGTTAGGGGTTACTCAAAATACCCACCTTACTGGAAAGTTTTCCTACATCTCTCACTAAGATACAGAAAAGTATTTCTGCAACTTTAGTGGCTGGAAATCCTAGACTTTCTGACATGTACTGTATCAATCAAGTTTTCAGCCTGTTTCTTAATCAGATACCTTAGAAAAAAGGTAGAGAATTTTCTGTCTTACCTCCATGATGGGGTTGGAGGCCAAGACCTTTTCCTCGACATTGGCCTCACTGGCAGAACCACTTACAGTTGCAAAGTATCTCATGGCATACTTAGCAGAGACTGTCTTTCCTGCGCCTGACTCTCCGCTGACAATGATGGACTGATTTCGTTCATCCCTGTAGAAACAAGTAAGAGTGACTGCCAGCGCTTCTACTTCTGAACATGATTACTTCTGCTCCTTTTTTTCCGTTGAGGCAGAATGAGTTTTTGCTGGTTCATATATACAATAACGTATATGTAAGCACAGAATTTCTTAGTAAGAATGACTACTTATAAGCACAACAGAAAAGGATATACCATTAACTTAGAATCCCATAATTAAGAACAACTCTGTATTTCAGGTATTCTGAATTTTCTGTGTGTACCTCAAACACAGTATTTTATTCATGGAGATTTGCATTGGTATTTTATAATACTGTTGTCAGCTACCATAGAAGAAAAGGAGAATATTCTTTGGATTCACAACAAAAGAATTTGGACAAAAAGGTGCTTAATTAAATTTTATAAAATCATTTGAAGTGTTTCCAATTGCCTGTCTGTTAATGATCTGGAAGCAGTATCTCCCACAAACTCCTGTTCTCCTAATCACCTACAGTCCCAGGGAAGAATCCATGATGTTGGCTAATTTCATTTTTAAAATGTCATTCCAAGTTAAAACTCTTTCTCTTCCTCCTGCTCTCTCCTCCTCATTCCCCCTCCCCACTCCTTTTTCTTCACGTGTTTTTCAAGACAGGATTTTTCTATGTATTTCTGGTTGTCCTGATCTGCCCACCTCTACCTTCCAAATGCTGGGATTAAAGGTATGCACCAGGATCAGGTAGGCAGAGGATAAAGGGAGAGAGTACTAGGAGAGACAAGTGGAATTTGGAGGAATTTCAGGGCAAGGTAGAAACTAGTGCAATGGAAACTGCCAGGAATTCATGAGGGTGACCCTAGGGAAAACTCCTAAAAATGGGGAGTACAGAGCCTGGATCAGCCATTTTTTAATAACCATGTAAGGCTTCCAAAGGATAGGTTAGGACACCAAACCTTCAACCTACAATTTGTCCTGTCTGGAAGATGCTCTGGGGTGAAGGTGGTGCAGAAATTGTGATGGAGGCCAACCAATGACTGGTCTAGCTTGAGACCCACGCCCCAAGAGGGAGCCCACCCCTGACACTATCCAGAGGGCCAGGAAACAGAGGCTGGACAGCCTACAGACCTAGGACAGACCCAAACACAACTGTAAAAAAAAAAAAAATCAATGAAATGATTCCTAATGACACTCTGCTATACTTGTAGATCAGAACCTAGCATATCAGAGAGGGTTAATCCAAGCAACTGATGGGAGCAGATGCAGAGACTCATAGCCAAACATTAGGCTCAGAGAATCTTGTAGAAGAACAGGGAGGAAGGATTTTAGGAGCTAGAGGGGTCAAGGACACCACAAGAAAACCCACAGAATCTACTAAGCAGGGTTCATAAGAACTCCCAGAGACTGAATGAACAACCCAGCATGCATGGGTCTGACCTAGGCCCATTCATGCTATGGTTGTGTAGCTTGGTCTTCTTGTGGGATCCCGACAGTGGGAGCAAGAGTAGTGGCATGAGTGTGATATGGACTATCCCTGACTTTTTGCCTGCTTTTGGGACCCTTTTCCTCCTACTGGGTTGCTTTGACCAGCCTTAATATGAGGGGAGGTGTTTAATCTTATCATATTTTTGTTTTGTTTTGTTTTGTTTCAAGACAGGGTTTCTCTGTGTAGCCTTGGCTGTCCTGGAGTCACTTTGTAGACCACGCTGGCCTCAAATGCACAGAGATCTGCCTGCCACTGCCTTCCCAAGTGCTGTGACTACAGGTTTGTGTCACCTCATCCGGCTGGTTTTATTGTATCTTGATATGCCATGCTTGGTTGATATTCTTGGGAGGCCTGCCCTTTGCTGAAGGAAAACAGGAGAAGTGAATCTTGGGAAAAGGGGAAGAAGGGGAAGGCACTGAAAGGAGAGGAGGGAAGGGGAGCTGCAGTTGGGATGTAAAATATGAGAGAAGAATAAATTTTTTTAAAAAGGGGGGAAGTATCACATTCATGCTTGAAGATGTAGTAACAGAATACTACAACTGTTTTTGTTATAGTGTAAAGATGAAGCCTAAGCTGCAATGAGAACCTCAGGTTGTTGGAGAAACCAGAACTACAAGGCTTGAGGAGAGCTGCATGCACAGAATGGAATGACCACAAAGGATAGCTATGCTCACTGAGGGCGGCAAAGCTAAAGGGTGGAGCTGCCCAAGCCCTTTGGCGTCATGTTGAACACAGAGCTGCAGAACTGGGTATTTTCCCTGCTGAGTTTCAGTCTTGCTTTGTTCTGGCCACTCCTTCTTCTGCCCCCTTCTTACCTGTTTGGAATAGGGTGTTTACTCTGTGCCACTGGACACTGGAAGTGTATACCTTGCTTTATATTTTATAGGCACTTACAGTTAAGAGACTGCTTTGAGTCTCAGATAAGACTTGGACTTGGAATTTTTAAAGTGTTGGGACTGTTAAATACTATGGGGACTCTAGAGTTTGACTGATTGCATTTTACATTATGAGATAGCCATGGGCCAGTGGAACAAGAAGTGAAAGGTTATGGTTTAAAAGTGATGTGCTTGGGTGTCAAACTGGCAATGGGTGAAGCTGTGCTGTCTAAAGTTGATTGTTAAATTGTTCAGATTTAGAATCCCTACCCATCTCTGTGAGGGATTATCTGGATTTGGTTAACTGAGGAAAGACCTATCATAAATGTGGCAGTACAGTTCCAGGGGCTGCGGTTCTGAGGAGAAAATGAGCTGATTGTCAGCATTCATCTCTCTTGTTTCCTGAAGGCTGCCTCAAGTTTCTTCTGCTGTGAGTCCTTGCCATTGTTGGCAGTTGGTCTGATGCTTGTATTTTGACGCTAATTGGCTACTGGCCCTCAAGATCTGGCTACTGCCCAGGTATACCTATCCTTGTTGTGTAAACCTGCCTAAGACATTATACGTGATTGGTTGATTAAAAACCCTAACCCTCCACCCCAGCAGGGCAGAATGGGGTAGGCATGGCTAAGGTTCCTGGGCTTTGGGAAGAAGAAAGAAGGCAGGAGGACACACTGTGGGTTAGTGTGACAGAACCACATAGGCTGGGAGGAAGGACTCCAACAATGGTGTGGAAAGGCTCAGAAAAGCAAATAATTATATGATTATGGATGGAAAGTAGCCCAGATAAGGATGGGTAAGGCCGATGGCATTGAATGGAGGCTGGGAGGTGGATCGTGAGGTTATTAAGATAGCATAGATGAAATTATCTGCACAGCCCAAGGTATTTTAAAGCAATTATAAAATTTTAACAGGGGTCTGTGTCTTATTTAATTGTGATAGTGGGTTAAATAATACTGCTGTGACAATCATAGGGGAAATAATAAATAAAATTATTTAGCCCAACATCATTTTATTTACTACAACATGCCATGGAGGACTAGATCCTTAAACTCTGAGCCAAAATGCTCCCTCCTTTCCTTAAACTGCTTTTTCTGTCACGTGCCTTTATACAGCAATGATAATAATAACTGATGCAAGAGGACAGATTTATTTTAAATGTTAGTCCATGTTCACTTGGTTTCCTTGTTTCTGGGCCATGGTGAATCACAACAAGGAAAATGTAGTAAAAGCAAAGCTGCTCACCTCGTGGTAGCCAGGAAGCAGGCAAAACTGAAAAGGGGAAAGGGATAAGTAGAACCCTTGACATATTCCCAGCAGCCTGTTTCCTCCAACCAGGTTGTACTTCCTAATCACTTACTCAGCTTGGAACTCATCAATGGATTAGCTCATTGAAGAAGTTAGCGCACTTATTATCCAATTGTCTCTCAATAACACTACCAAGTCTTCAGCACACCAACCTTTGGAGCCATTTTATACTAAAACTATAACACATGGCATACACACACATGATGCCAAACCTAAGTTAGGATGTACTGACTGAAAGTCACAAAGCATCAGTATAATCATCCTTATAAGGTAGCATGCATTACACCACGCCTATTATATAAGGAGGATACTTGGCACCAAATGGTAGCTGAGTCACAGCTGTTAACAGGAGAGATTTCATCATCCATAAGAGTCATGTTCCCCTTAGCCAATGAACCTCAGGATACCAGAGCATTCAGAAACCACATAACTAAATGAAAGAAGAGATGGCCTAAGAAAGGACTGGTAATAAATGAGGTCAGAAGTAATAAAACCAGATGACAGATCTAAATGGATAGAAGGAGACTGCAGAGACAATGCTTCACAGTGATGGAGGGAAGAGCTTCAATCAAATTCTACTTAATATTTTTCAAAGTACTCATCCATCTATATGATTAAACCCCTGAACAGACACTCTCTTTTCCTCTTTGGAGAAAACAACAGAGGAGTTGGTTTGCCTAAAGTTGGTAACTAGTATGCCAAGACAGTGGCTTGTTACCACATATACCCCTAACTTTAGGGGTATAGGGAGGTCTACAGTAGGCTCCTTCTGCTTTGCTATGCCACCCCTTAGCATGGTCTGTCCTTCAGCAGGAAGAAAAAAAGGTCCATGGATTAATCCTATTAAACATAATATATTTCACAGAACACTGTAAGGTTAAGCTAGACCATTTGTGAAAAAAGTAAGATCCATGGAGATTGTGAGACTTAAGTTATTGGGAGAAATGCGATTAGTGCAAATAGCAGGTTTTGTTTTGTTTATTAACTGTACCAAGGTTAACTACACAGTACTAACTGTTTTCAATCAAAACTGTAAGTAAAACTTAGGAACATTGCTCTATGAATCATACAGGACAAATACAATAGATAAAATTAAGACAATACCATATCACATAGTTATAAGGAAACAAAAGTACATTTTGATGTTTTAATGAACATAATACAGTGATTTTGATAAAGGAAAACAGGGAGGCAGGGAGATGACTCAGCAGGCAAGGAACTTAACCTTGTCTTAGAACTGAGCCTGATAAACTGAGTTCCATCCTTAAGATTCACATGATAGGCAGAGAACTGACTCCCATAAGTTTTCCTCTGTGCCAACACACACACATACACACACACCCCACATAAAATAAACACTGAAAAAAAACATTCAGTAAAATGTAAGAAAAGGAATACAGAGGAAAAACACTCTGGACTCCATTTGTCTTTTCTCTTCTAGACATTATCAGGCCCACTAAATGTAAGAGGGTGGCAGTATTTCACGAGGGCACTGTTCTCTAAGGAGCATGTTTAGAATGAAGATGGGACACAGCCATTTCTAACTAGAACACCTAAAGCAGGGCTACCATGATGGCTCAACAGATGAAGGCACTCGCCACCAGGCTCTTTTCTGGCCTCCTCGGGCACTACACCAACATGCTGCACATACATACATGCAGGTCAAATTTTCATGCACATAAGATAAATTAATAAGCTAAGATGTCCTTAGCTCTCACCCCACCACATACAAATGACCTGTCCCTTTCTCGAGATGAAGAGAAAGGAAACTGCTCACCTTCTATCTCTCAGAACAAATCCTTGTCATCCTAACTCCACTTCTCTCTTACCCGGAAGCAGCACATTTTTCCCCAATTCCATCTTAAAAATATACCCAGAATCTATTCCCTCCTCACCATCCTCATAAAGATCCTCAACTAACTCATCATTTCCCACTCAGATCACTGAACAGCCTCCTGCCGCATCTCCTGAGTTCTACCCTTGCTCGCTCTATTTTGTTACTGTAAAGTTACTATACGATTTACACACATAGTAAAATGAGTTCCTGCTTGTGAATCACTCAGATCCAGGAGCTTTCCACCTGCTCTGTCTCGCTATTTTCCCATTCTAATACTTTCCACAACATTTTGAGTATAGGTTGTAAACATGTATATGCCTACAACCTTCACAATTTTTGCTAAGGAGAGCATTGTTCTTACCCATTGGTAATGGCCAGTATCAGGAAAGATAATATTGCTATAATAACACTAACAGCTTAATTGATAATCCTATCGATAGGTGACAAGCATAAGCTTTATTTACTTTTATTCTTCACTAGGCTTTGTTTGTGGGGTGGAACTTTTGCCTAGTTTGCTACTGGTTTTTGGATTGTGATTATAAAATTTCAGTCAATAATGATGAACTGTATCTTCCCTAAAGACATGAGGGGTTTGTAGGAACAGTCGTGATGTGATACACCAAGATTAACACCTGCGAAAGATGGCATGTTTATTTGCTAAGGGAAAAAAAGGTAAAAAAAATGATTTTGCAGCACAGATTCCTGACTAAGCCAAAACAACACACTGTGCTTGGAGACTGCAGCAGATTTTGTGGGTGCAGATTTATTAATATGTGAAAAACATCTAAATAACTGAAGCATATTTTCAAACTATCTACAAGAAAAAACTAGGCAAAGGGGGGAAAAAACCCAACAACCTTCAGTGGAGAGATTATACTGACTGACTCACGGGGGATGTCATGTGGGATGAGGAGAGTGCCAGGAGGCGGGCAGAATCTCCTGACATTTGAGGGTTGCCACAACAAGGATGAGAAAAACACGCTTTCAGAATTAAGAACAGTGTTGGGTTGAGAATGTGCTTAATACATGCAAGGCTCCTGCCTTGACCCCTCTAGCCAAAGAAAGTATTTTCTGAGGAGCTGTGTCATTCTTCAAGTATGATCAGATTCTTCAGAGATCAGTTTTCTAGCAGTCCATAGGAACCCCTCTCTGACAAGTGTGTCTTACGCTGTACTGAGTGTGCCAGCGTTGCACTGCAATGCTCTAGAACTAAAAACGTCAAGTCCTGGCAGACACTGTCTAGCTTAAAGGAAGATGTACTGCTAGATGGAATTTTCTCAACGTTAAGCTTTAAACTTTGGATATTCATAACTGTTTTATAGTAGTCTCGGGCATAATGTAGCATATTATATGCTGCTAATTCACGTAGTCATTTTATATTTAACATCCTAATATTTTAGTGTCGGACTAATTGGAATTTGAAAGATGTGCTTCGTATTGATGAGACCTATACAACTTCTCCAAGCCTCAGTTTTACCAATTTTAAAATGAAGCTCCATACCAACACCCAACTCAAAAACTTGTTGCAAAAATAATTTATTTTAGTAAATTAAAAGTAACTAATAGTTCCTTGTAGGGAGACAGTTAATTTTAGCTCTTATTAAAAGCCCTGTTATTATTAAAGGTGCATAATGACTTCTATGGGATCTTTCACTGAAATAATCCTTAAATTCTATCACCCTTTGGCTCTAAAACATACACTGGTTGCAAAAGAGAAAATAAAAGCCTCAGAGTGCTGGTCTCCTTTATATTTTATAAACTGTTGTGAGGATTTCCCGCATCGTATTATGCCAGGTTCCCTTTTAAGCTTGAGAATTCAGTTATTTTCCCATGCACTCACGCTCCCATCACATCACTTATATTCAGAGTGTAATCTTATCTTGAACGTGTTTTCACTCCCATTCTCTTCCCTCTAACAGTCAGTATGTGAGTGATACAGGCACACTTCACACATGTTCTTTACACATACATAACTGATGTCCTTATTTGCTGTCATACAGACTATTTTTCCAGCTCAGAGTTCTTTTAGTTCATCTGTTACTCTGCTGAGTGATATTAGGGAAGTCACTTATGACTAATGTCATGACTAAACCTTGACTCTCTCACCTATAAAACACAGTATCTGTCCTTGCTTAGTCATAGGAGCATGATGAGATTCCAAAGGCAATTAAAAAAACTATAAATCCATTATAAATGTGAGATTTTAATATTTTAACAGTCCAGACAATCTGAAACAAACTGGTCAAAGCAACCAGAAAAACCACTGAAGGGTTTTCTTTTAGAAAGATATCACACTGATAATCATACAGT